TTCCAGTGTTTAACCACCCTGACAGTTAGGATGCAGAGGCTGCAGGGCAAGGAGGAGCAGGGAAGGCAGGGGGCGCAGAGGCTTCAGGGCGAGGAGGAGCAGGGCAGGCAGGGGCATAGAGGCTGCAGAGGCAGGGGGGCGCAGAGGCTGCAGGGCGAGTGGGGAGCTGGGGTCACAGAGGCTGCAGGGGCGGGAGGAGTGCAGGGGCTGCAGGGCGAGTGGGGAGCAGAGAAGCACTTAGCAACCCCCAACCAAGATCAGAGCGGGAGGGAGGAGGTAGCAGAGTTGGGGCAGAGACTTTGGGGAAGGGGTTGGAATGGGGGCAGAGCCGGGGGTGGGGAAGGGGCAGAGTTAGGGCAGGGCCAGGGCCCCCGTGGAGTGTCCTCTTTTTTCAGTGTTGAAATATGGTATCCCTATCTTATTACCCCCCATCCCGATTTTTCACACTTGCTGTCTGGTCTCACTAGGCAGCACCTCCGGCTTGAAGTGGTTTTCATCAGGTGGACGGTTTACAGTTTTGTTCAATGGCTTTCAGTATCCCCACTATACAAATTGTTCCAATGCCCCTGCTCCCCACACTGGCATCAGAGACCTACATAGTCATTTGTGCCCATCTCCCATGCCCACATGCACCGCTTCTGTCATGCTGCTCCCTGCCAGCCACCATATCCTGCTTTTCACCCTGTAACTCCTTCTCAGATCTCATGGCTTCCAGCAGCAGTAGCTATTCTAGCCTCCTGTACTTTCAGCAGTATCCATTGTGCAATAAGAAGTTAAAGAAAACAAGCTACTTCCCAATACATACATGAGCCTCCCACTGGCCCACAAAATCTTATTTTCCCCTCCCTTATCCTACCTCTCCTTGCTTTGTTGTCTCCTGTTTGTTCTAGTCTTAATTTAAGGACTACCCCTGCAAACCTGTATTACACGGTGTAGTACATACAACCCATTGATTTCAGTGGGATTATTCACAATAGTAAATGCTAAATCCATTTTATTTACCTATTGTATAATTTCCTGCAATCTAGAGAGCACTTTCTGTTTGTACAGGCATTTAAAGAGAACAGTACAGAATATAGTTAATTTTTTAATATTTCCAGTATCAGACTTCAAAAAAAAAAAAAGGAATTGTCACTCCCTTCTCTCCCCCAAATCCTCAGGAAATTTATATATATATATATACACACACACACACACTACACACACACACATTTGATCTTAACAGATGAGTACCAATTAAAGTTACAGAAAAAAAATTGCAAGGTCCTTGCCCAGAGAAAACTCTTTTCTGACCCCAAATTTGGCATTCAGTTTAACTCTGGACATATGAGAAAGAATCAGTCATTAAGCACGTAATTCTGCTGATACATCAAAATTACTACTTTTTTCCTTGAGTCCTAGTAAAAGGTGGATTCTGTCAATATGTCAAGGCTCAATTAAAAGAAAATGTAATATAAAGGCTGAACTGGCAAGAGTCACTCCATACAAGCAGGAATTGTTGCTGGTAGCTAAGGATAACAACAGTCATGTTTAAGCCATCTCAAACATGAGAGACACAGTTTAAATAGTTACAAAGAGGATTTTGGTTGCTACAATGTGGTAAACATTACAAGAGCCATTGACCCTAGGTCCTGCTGTGGGAGGGAAGGTTTAGCTTATCAAAACTTGTTCTGGTCCCAGTCTCTAAGTGGACCCCAGTGTGTTGAGCGTTATATAAGTACTTTTCATCTGTATATTTACAAAGGAAGGTAAACACTATTACTATCTTCATTCTACTGATGAGGAAACTGAGGCACAAATAGGTAAAGTGACTTGCCCAAAGTCATACAGCAAGCCAGTAGAAGAGGAGGGGATAGAATCTACATTCATTATCACAGCATAGAGACCATTAGGTCAAATCTGAATCTTATTACAGCTGTAGAGGAAATTACTTTTCCAGTGATATGTAGCCCAATTTTCACATGCTAGCAGTTGTATTTTCCTTGATATTATAGAGGTTTGCAAGAAGCAGCTCCCATAGACAGACAGCAGTACAGAGACAAAGGCTGGGAAATGGAAAGTGGCTACCTATTCTGTGTGCATGAGACCCAGTGGGTTTTTAGCCAGAGAAGAGGGGAAGTTGCTGGGAGAGGAGAGTGACTGATATTCCTGGTCAACCAACTGCACCCAAAAATGTCTGCACATGGCTGAGACTCCCAGTTATGTGCATCCAGCCCAAACATTGTTTGGGGGGAAAGTAGGGGAGTTTACTTTCACAAGTAGAGACAGATGAAGTTGTTCAGTTGCTCTTTACATGGTAGAAGAGAGGTAAATCCCTTTTAACTCCTCAGTCAGCTATTCCCAAAACAGCTTGGCTATAGCAAGCATTGGGCAGAGAAAAGTCTGTCCCTCCACTCAAGCAATCACCAGCCACAAAATAGAATCAGCAGAAAGAGGAGGCCAACATGCCCAGGTGTGGACAAAGGGGAGAGGAGGGAAGCAGCTCTCAGATTACTATCCAGAAGGAACAGATAGAATGCCAGTCTCACCTACGAGGCCTCCCTGGTGCAGGAAGTCAAGGGAGGATCAGTATTTGAGCAACACAGAGACCTGCTCTCCAGTCCAGAGAGTTATCTGTCTCACAGTATGTTACTGTACCAATACTGGGTGTGTCTATACTTTGGGCTGGAGGTGTAAATTCCATTTTGACTTTGAGGACATATACCTGGATGGGTACATACTTGGAATGGCTAGCCCATCATGCAGCTGCAGCTACATTCTATTTTTAGCATGGTAGCTCCATCAGACAGGTACATCTACTCAAGCTGGAATTTATACCTCCAGCTCCAGTGTAGATATACCCAGTGAGTATTTTCACTCTATGCTTAGGGAAATACGCAGAGGTCATTTAAGACCTTGTCTAAGAGACTCAATTAAGTTTGGTGTAAAGACACGTGAAGGATTACAGAGAGTTGAAGGATAGTATCAGCACCCAAATGACGGTCAGGGCTCTGACATAAAAACAACTGCAAGTTTACTTTTCTTTAATCAATCCTAAAGAGCTCTAACACAAGTGACAGTGTGTACATACTGACCAACTGAGATCTCTGTGTAGACTTTAGGGTTGGACCCTCTTTTCTTTTATATTGTTTGTAGAATTCAGACTGTATTTAATTATTGGAAAATATGTGATTATTTGAGGGAAGGGGTGTTTGATTATTGTTGTGGAGTTAACACTTTGGTATCTCTGTTCCCCTTGATTTCCCTGACCTTTCCTTTTATCCATGGTTCCTACTTATCCCCCATTCTTTTTATGTAACCCAAACCCTTTTCTTAAATGTTGGGAGGGATTTTTCCTACAACTTTTTGTTTCTTGATTCCTAT